CGGGAGCGTTCGGCGTTAGTTTTTATGAAGGAAAGTTGATATACAGTGACACAACAGTGGAACTGTAATTAAGAGGTACGGTAGTATTTGGGAATGTGCGTTAATATTATTTCCAGTTTTTGCTGACTCTATCCCAAGTGCCTGTGGTCCGTAAGGTTTGCGCTTAATAATGAGATATGATATCACGATGTGTGTGTGTGTGTGTGTGTGTGTGTGTGTGTGTGTGTGTGTGTGTGTGTGTGTGTGTGTGCGTGCGTACCTGCGTGTGTGTGCGTGCGTGTGTACGTCCGTGCGCGCGTGCGTGCGTGCGTGTGTGCAGTGCGTGCGTGCGTGCGTGTGTGTGCCTGCATGTGTGTGTGTGCGTGCGTGCGTGTGTGCGTGCGTGCGTGCGTGCGTATGTGTGTGTGTGCCTGTGTGTGTGTACCTGCGTGTGTGTGTGTGCCTGCGTGTGTGTGTGCGTGTGTGTGTGTGTGCGTGCGTGCGTGCGTGCGTGCGTGCGCGTATGTGTGTGGAGGAGGGGCTTTAGGTAATAATTACTCTAGACAGCAAACATATTAAAAAATTTACCTGACCAACGGTTTTTTACCAGATGGAGCATAAATTAGTGAAAAATCTAGACTGCGAAGCGATTTATGTTAAATACGCCGATGTACGTTCACATAGTATTCAGTATAGGTTCTAACGTCTACTGAAACATTTAATGAAGGTCACAGCGTTTGACAGATCTAATACTAAGTCCCGCGTGATTTCCTGAAGATGTGAAATGTAGTATCGTCTTCCTTGGCGTATAGGTTGATTGAAATCTGTTACCTGTTGGTTGACATCATGTGATGTCATCCCACTATGCGGCAGTGCCTCCCCTGGACACTTATAAGGACAGGTTGGCATGGATCAGTCATCAGTGTGAAAAGCTAGAGCATACTGCAGTAGCAAAATCGTTAGCATTTAAGCCGGGGCTTAATGTGTACTCTGCTCCCAAACACAAACTCGTGTATTGTGCTATACCGAAAATCGCATCCACCACCTGGAAACGCGCGCTCATCGCCTTAGAAATGGCGCCACCTGGTAGCAAAGCCGACATGCAGCAGTTCAATGTACTACCGAAACAATATCCGCATACGGATAGCCAGGTCGGGAAGTATGTTCAGCGCCTAAGCACCATCAAGGATTCGCGTAAGAAGGCAGCCATCCTTAACAACGCCACCACCAAGTTCATGTTCGTGAGACATCCGCTCACTCGCATCCTGTCGGCATATCGTGATAAGATTGCCGACAAAGCTGACGACCAACGGTTCCGAAAGTCGTATCTGCGTAAGAATCCGAAACTCGGGAAGATTAGTACGTCGGTGAGCTTCGTACAGTTCCTCAACCATGTTCTCGGAACACTTACAGAACAATTGGAGATGCACTGGGCACGCATGGTTGACGTGTGCAACCCGTGCGTCATCAACTACGACTTTGTCGGCAAACACGAGAGCATGCGCGACGACAGCGCCGAACTGCTGCGGCGGACGGGACTGGCGGAATCCATCGACTTTCCCGTGAGGAACGCGACATACAAGAAGGCGACGAGCAGTGATGACGTCACGCTCATGCGGACTTACTACAAGCAAGTGCCGCTAGACCTCGCTCGACAACTGCACGCTAAATATGAAGCGGATTTTCTACTTTTTAATTACACGTTTCCCTACGAATTGTTCGCCTAGTGCTGCATTTCATAGCACGCATAAACATATGCAAGACGTGATTTGTATATCCGTATTTTCCATGTCCATAAGTACTGTTATAAAATTATTGCGTGTTAGCGAGGGACACATTAAGGTTTGTGTACCGAGGTAATCAATGTTGCCCGCACTGAAGTTCGAGGGTAACATTGATTGTCGAGATCTACAGAACGCTCTGCTGTCGGAGCGACCATGCAATAACTATGCTGTTATATATAACACCGATGGTGCATTGTGAAGATGCATGGAAACAGCAAACATATTTAATAATTTATTAAGTTGCTTGGAAATGGCCATATGCTTGCAATAATATTTTATATACAGCAACAGCAAAACAAGTTAATAATATAGCAACATTTTGAATATAATATAGGTAGAGGTGAACACTAACATTCTAAACACATGAATTATGCTATTAATTATGCTATTAATTATGCTATTAATTATGCATTATTCTATAATTAGAAGCTCTGGCAGGTGGGTAGTCAGTATGAGGGTGTATATAGCTGTGTGCAATCATATCAACGTTGTCCTCTGCACAGCTGCTGCTATGGACGGATCAAAGCGCTGCGTATGGTAGGCTTTGGCAAGTGTCACCATGCTCGCGTTTCTACTCTATCTAACCGGTACGTATAGCGATGTCTAACTTCGTACAGGTGCGTGTTGCTGACCGCGGCAGGGGTAAGGATCAACGCATGCTAGCTATATACAGGTTTTGAGACGGCCATGTGTGGAAGATAGGTCCGCGCCAATTTATTGTGTCTGTACCTAAACATGTTTTACAGGCGCTTAAATAAAGTTTTACTTCCTTACTTACAGGCACACGGTGCCTTCGCAAGAAAGCCGGAGGAGATCTCATTGTAGTAGTCCGTAGGGTTTGCGCTTATTAATGAGATATGATATCACGGTGTGTGTGTTGTGGTGTGTGTGGTGTGTGTGTGTGTGTGTGTGTGTGTGTGTGTGTGTGGGGTGTGTATGTGTGTGTGTGTGTGTGTTGGTTGTGTGTGTGGTGTGTGTGTGTTGTGTGTGTGTTGTGTGGTGTATGTACGTGGGTGTGTGTGTGTGTGTGTGTGTGTGTGTGTGTGTCTGTGTGTGGGGGGGGTGCTGTGTGTGTGTGTGGTGTGCGTGTGTGGTGTGTGTGTGTGTGTGTGTGTGTGTGTGTGTGTGTGTGTGTGTGTGTGCGTGCGTGCCTGCGTGTGTTGTGTGTGTGTGTGTGTGTGTGGTGTGTTGGTGTGTGTGCCTTCTGTGGTGTGTGTGTGTGTGTGTGTCGCTGCGTGTGTGTGCCGTGTGGCGTAGTGCGTGCGTGGTGCGTGCGTGTGTGGAGGAGGGGCATTAGGTAATAATTACTGCTAGACAGCGAACAGATTTAAAAGAATTTACCTTGACCAGGTTTTTTACCAGATGGAGCAATAAATTAGTGCAAAATCTAGACTATGCGAAGCGAATTTATGTTAATATACTTCACATAGTATTCAGTATAGGTTCTAACGTCTACTGAAACATTTAATGAAGGTCACAGCGTTTGACAGATCTGTATATAAGTCCCGCGTGATTCCCATGAAGATGTGAAATGTCATATCGACTTCCTTTGCGTATTAGGATTGATGAATGTCACCTGTTGGTGACATTCATGTGATGTCATTCCCACCTGCGGCAGTGCCTCCCCTGGACAGAACAGAGAAGAAACCTAAAGGAAACATAGAATAACATATATTATTATTGTAACATTATATATGTATTTCAAGAGTAAATAATCAGAAGTAATATATATATATATATATATATATATATACATAATATATATATACATATATTATATATATACGTTTTATTTCACCTGCAAATGTAGGAACATGCTATGGAAGACGCCATACCGCTTTGTGAAACACGAGCTTTATAAAACCATTATATACCATTATAAAACTATGATTTCCATGATTCAGACCAGGCGGTTATCACAAAATTACTGACTATAATTATAATAACATTATAATATAATATAATTATTATTTATTCCAAAATATTTATACCTGTTTATATTTATATATAGTATAATTACATGCACAACATAATTGAAATTAATAGCGAAATTAAAAACAGATTGTAATCATTAGGCGCTAATTATTATAGACCTGCAGTAATATTTTTAATTACCATTGACCGGCCTTTACATATGTGTAGATATAATTATATTTATATATATTAAAATAGTTATTATATACAGCTAAGTGTGGTAAACGAAATATATTCAAATTATGGCTCAGTCCTTTAATTATAAGGCGAAAAATCTTTCAAACCTCCTTGAAACGTGCGATGGATTATAGGGTCAGATGTGTCTACTATCAGCTTACAGATATCCCGATTTGTTGGCATTATATATTTAAAAAGAAGAGGACATACTCGGGAATATGCTGCTATAATGGACTTCGGACGTATTGCGGCCTTTATATAATAAGAGAGGGCCCAATCTACTCAACATTCAGTACACTCTCCATTGCCGTTGGTCGGCGCCATTGTCGCGTATGAGAAGTAGTGTATGATACTAAACAAAACATATTCATATTATATAATTGTATTGAAGTTGTACACATGTAGTGAGAACATATTCAGGAGTAGATGGATATAAAGCTCCGACAAGATTTTATAAATAAATTATAGTGAATTAATCCGAAAGAAAATGTCATAGAATCATTTATATCATGTATTAGATTGAGAATGAGAAAAACGTGTCCTCGCATAAAGACACAAATGTCTTTGGTCAATTTACACACCTGATGAGGTTTGCCTGTCAAAGACGAGGGTTGACATGTAAATAGCTCAGAGTTCACTGGGCTAATTACAAATCATAAAAATTATAAAAATTTATTATCAAATAAAATCACTGTTATCAATGCCTTATGCGTTATGATATTCTTGCTGTATCAAATACAAAACATTTAGAAAAAAGCGTCAACTGTCACGCTCTACTAGTAGCGTATGACATATAGTGTGGCAATTTCACATTGGGGCATCGCCGCGACACAAGAGCCGTCCATTTACTGACAAAACGGTTGCACTCATATAATGACTCTCATAACACTCATAACACTCATACGTCCTCTCGTTTCTACACATTATACAGGCACGGGCGCATGCGTGCTATGATGTGCGTCAATAGAAGCTCTGGCAGGTGGGTAGTCAGTAGAAGGGTGTATATAGCTGTGCAATCATATCAACGTTGTCCTCTGCACAGCTGCTGCTATGGGCGGATCAAAGCGCTGCGTATTGGTAGCTTTGGCAAGTGTCACCATGCTCGCGTTTCTACTCTATCTAACCGGTACGTATAGCGATGTCTAACTTCGTACAGGTGCGTGTTGCTGACCGGCGGCAGGGGTAAGGATCAACGCATGCTAGCTATATACAGGTTTTGAGACGGCCATGTGGAAGATAGGTCCGCGCCAATTTATTGTGTCTGTACCTAACATGTTTTACAGGCGTTAAATAAAGTTTTTACTTACTTACTTACTCACAGGCACACGGTGCCTTCGCAAGAAAGCCGGAGAGATCTCATTGTAGTAGTCCGTAGGGTTTGCGCTTATTAATGAGATATGATATCACGATGTGTGTGTGTGTGTGTGTGTGTGGTGGCTGTGTGTGTGGCGGTGTGTGTGTGTGTGTGTGTGTATGTGTGTGTGTGGTGGTGTAATGTTGTGTGTGTGTGTGTGTGATGTCGTGGGGTGTGTGTGTTGTGTGTGTGTGTTGTGTGTGTGTCTGGTGTGGGGGTGTCGCTGTGTGTGATGTGTGGTGTGCGAGTCGTGTGGTGTGCTGATGTGTGTGTGTGCTGTTGTGTGTGTGTGTGTGTAGTGTGTGTGTGCTATGTGCTGCCCTGTGTATGTGTTGTGTGTTTGTGTGTGTGTGTCTGTGAGTGTGTTGTATGTGTGTGCCCACCACACACGCAAGAGCGCCCCCCAGTCCCGTGTGTGTGCCGTTGCGTGCCGCGTCGCGGTCGATGCCTTGCGTGTGTGTGTGTGTGTGCGTGTGTGTGTGTGTGTGTGTGTGTGTGTGTGTGTGTGTGTGTGCGTGCGTGCCTGCGTGTGTGTGCGTGCGTGCCTGCGTGTGTGTGCGTGTGTGCGTGTGTGCGTGCGTGCGTGCGTGCGTGCGTGTGTGGAGGAGGGGCATTAGGTAATAATTACTCTAGACAGCGAACAGATTAAAGAATTTACCTGACCAAGGGTTTTTACCAGATGGAGCATAAATTAGTGAAAAATCTAGACTGCGAAGCGATTTATGTTCAATATACCTTCACATAGTATTCAGTATAGGTTCTAACGTCTACTGAAACATTTAATGAAGGTCACAGCGTTTGACAGATCTGATAATAAGTCCCGCGTGATTCCCATGAAGAATGTGAAATGTAGTATCGTCTTCCTTTGCGTATAGGTTTGATTGAACTGTCACCTGTTGGTGACATTCATGTGATGTCATCCCCACCTGCGGCAGTGCCTCCCCTGGACACTTATGTTGGTGACATTCATGTGATGTCATCCCCACCTGCGGCAGTGCCGCGCCTGGACACTTATAAGGACAGGTTGGCATGGATCAGTCATCAGTGTAAAAAGCTAGGGCTTACTGCAGTAGCAAAATCGTTAGCATTTGAGCCGGGGCTCAATGTGTACTCTGCTCCCAAACACAAACTCGTGTTTTGTGCTATACCGAAAATCACATCCACCACCTGGAAACGCGCGCTCATCGCTTTAGAAATGGCGCCACCTGGTAGCAAAGCCGACATGCAGCAGTTCAATGTACTCCCGAAAAATTATCCGCATACGGATAGCAAGGTCGGGAAGTACGTTCAGCGCCTAAGTACCATCAAGGATTCGCGTCAGAAGGCAGCCATCCTTAGCAACGCCGACACCAAGTTCATGTTCGTGAGACATCCGTTCACTCGCCTCCTGTCGGCATATCGTGATAAGATTGCCGACGACGCTGGCGACATAGGGTTC